GGTCGAGGCATTGCCGGGTAAGGGTGGCCCACGGAGCCAATTCTGCTCAAAGGATTCGAACTGTGGAAATCGTGATTGGGCCAGTGGGGTCCGCCCGATGAAGAATTTCCATGAACAGATCCCACATTTATTCCAGGTCTCTCGTAATTAGCGAAGGGTGGATTTGGCAAGTAAGGCCCGGAAGGCGACAATGGTTTATGGTGCACTGAATGGCCCTGGAAAGTCGTGGATGAAGACGGTTCTCGGTTTTCGGTTAGAGGTGTGGGCCCGTAGCTTAAACCTGGAGTTTCTAGGCTTAAGATGACTCCGGAAATGCTCAGCCTGCCGGGTACTTTTAGAACTTTTTCAGAGAATTCAGAAGGAGGGACGAGAAATAAAGTGGTCAATTCGTCCAGTTTTACAACAGCAGCACGCTGTCTCTCCCCAAGATAGTTCATGAATTCATTGTAATATGAAATGTCAGGATCATTGGCAGGGGCGAAGAAGACAACCCAAGCACTAGCCGCCTGGTAGTAATTCTTTGCGAGCATGTCTAAACTAGTCCTTGCTGTGCAGTCCAAGCATCCAGGCCTGCAGCATCATTTTTCAAAATCATCTGATTCGTTAATTGGTAAAACACGATAATAAAGCTGCGTATTCAAACTTCACAACTCTTGACCGAAAACACCCATAAACAAGCCATATCTTTAAACTTTTCATTAGTTTTTAGATAATTAACACAAAAATTGGAAATAGGTACCGAGAAACCAGATCCAGGTAAATGATACTATGATGGCTTCACAGATCAAGAAAGACCAAAAGATAATTAAACAAGTGAATAAATACAGCCGCCTTTATTTGAATCATAAACTATAAAAGCTTTGCGGAGAAACCAAAAACCACATAAGCACATCAACACACACAAGCTTTATGCATATTGACTAATGACCAGAGCAATACTTACAGGATCATGTCAGGTGCTTTTCCAACAGGAAAGCATCGAGCACGACATATGGGGTTCCCCCCTTTGGCTATCATTCCCTCCCACTTCCATATCTCTTTCAAAGATGATTGACGTCTCTCGGGGGTCAACCTCTGCCGATCCATGAGAGGCAACTGGGCCGGAGCAACCTGAAATTCATCACGTGGCAAGTTCCATTGATCGACCCTTTCCCCAAGTGGTTGGGCCATATTCATTAAACGCTGTGGAACAATTGGCCTGTACCCTACGTATCTGGACTCATCGTCCTTATCAACGGGCCTGCGGCGGGGGTTGTCATGTGGCAGGACACGTTTTTGTTTCTCCAGATCGGATAGTGGATATTCCGGAAGCTCGTTGTCAATCAGAAATGTGCTTTCAGTCTTCAGCTTCTTTGGCCCACGCAAAAATGATACATCCTCAGGCAAATCCCATGGGTCATCATCATAGATCTGACCTTTTCGAGGAAATTCTTGAGGGGAGAACTCGCGAATACGCACCCATACGTTCTTCCTTTTAGGGCTATCCAGAGGCTCATATGTATCTCCAGATAACCCTACCTCAGACCCATGCGCAGGGAACCTCATCCGCTCGCGTGCACCGTATTTTGGAATGTACGGTGGAGATTTAATGTTGGGATCTCTGTCGAAGTCTCTGCCATGTCGAACGTGTTCGAAAGACTCTTCGTGTTCATATGATCTAAAACGTGGGGACAGCGAATCATCTGTTGGGATTCTCTCTCGGTTGGATAGCCCGGACTCGTTCTTTGCGAAACAAATATGCACACGCGGGTTTCCGAATAATTTCCCGTGCAGTGCTTCTTTCGCTCTAGCGGCTGCCATCACACTTCGGAAACGGACAAAGGCATAAGTGCGACCAGGAAATACAGTTATCTTCTCAATCTCGCCAAATGGTGAAAAGGCCTTCCTCAATACGTATTCATCCATTTTCATGTTGGGGGGAAATCCGACCCACAAGACTTCACTTGGTTCTGAATCTTTGTCGCCAGTCTTAGATTTACTTATATGTAATGGCTCAGGACTGGAGTGACGTGCCCTGGAGTCCCGAGGGGAAAATGAAGACTCTCTGGGCTTGGGATACGGATCATCCCGCCTTTCTGAGTAGTCTGCATCACGTGATGCTGGTAATGATTTTTCCTGCAAATGGAATAGCATTAAGAATGCAACTGCTCGATGTCACATACTAGTTGATAATCCATAGCCAGTGTCTCTTTTACAAACCAACAATCTTTGTCCACAAACTCGTGGATTTAGTTTTTGTTCAGATTCAATAAAGTTGGTTAGAGGTGATTCTCGTACTCAATGGTTACCAACAGATACTAGTGTCAAGCACAAGTCAAATGTTCTAGTAAGGTAATCAGTAATTTAATATCACAATGGTAAAATGCAACAATAGCATATTTCAATGAAGACCCATAAGGTGAAATGCAATTCTCTAAAATCTTATATCGGTGTCGTTGATGAAGAACATGTACAGAGGCTGATGCCCAAAAATCCGATAGAATATTATGATAGCTCAAGTCATAGCTATGTGTAACAGAACGTGAGAAAAAATATGTTTTATGAACACAAAACAAAGGGAGAATTCCTTCACATTCTTGAAAAGGTAGAAAGTATACTTTCATTTTCATGTACTAACCTTATGATCTTCAAACACAAGAAAACCCACTATCAGCATATCAATGAAATGGCTAACAGAATGTTTTGAGACGTAGCCAAAACACTAATGGTCTATAGAAAATCTCAATTTTCAGATAACTATCTAACATCACATGTTCCCGTACCACCAACAGAAACACAGATCTTATTGTTCTCTGAATTATTTCTGCACACCCGGAAACGCAACAAACAAAACAAGGAGGAGAACATTTTGTACAAATTTATAGAGTAAACATAATCTTCTAATATAAACATATAAAGGAGTATCAGAAAATACAGAGAAAACAACTCCAATCCTCCTGGGTACATTATTTTCTTATACAATTATAAGGATTAAGTCAATTGGCGGCTTCCCGAACATGTGAATAAGATAAATAACATATAAATTATGCTCAGAAAACAGCGGCTACCCTTCATTTTTCTCTTCTATACAGTATGTACAACCAAAACAATAGTGCTCACATGTGATTCACAATGCATATATGATCCGAAGTGCATTTATTGGATGAGCAGTTCTATAAGGTGCCACCGTACCTTGTCCCTTTCTTCCAATACAAAAATTACAAGGAACTTGAAATCACAACTAATTCTTCTGAACATTACAATTCAACTGTCTTATCTCCTCAACAAGTCTTTACTTTCTCTTGCTTTCCGTATTTTATGCTCTTCCTATTCTCATCACACTTCTCCCTCTCCTATCTTTTTCTTCTTTTTTCTTTTTTCCCCCTACAACTTCGACATGCTTCTCGTAACAAGACTGCAAAAGATGCAGCACAAGGAGAGAAAATGTTGGTTCTCTTCCTGCTTTTTTTTTCCTTCTGATGTTTCATTTATACTATCTGTCCATTGCAAATGGAGCTAGAAGAGTCATTCTTGACAATTTTCCTGGCATAGTGCTAATAATGGACTAGATCAAAATGACTCAATTAAATTCTAGTGCTTCTTCTATTAGTGAAGTTTCTAGAAAAAAAAATATATCAAACAAAGCAATGCACCTTGGGTCGCTACGGAACCTCCTTGTATAATTACAAGGGTAAGGTCTGCGTACAACTGACCCCCAGACCCCAACCAGTTGGGAATATACTGGGTATGTTGTTGTTGTTTCATTTATACTATAAATAAGAAGAGTCCCCAGAAATGCTGTTAGTTTAGTTAGAGTACGAAACTTTCCCAACTC